GGAATGCTTCCAGTAACCTGCATCAGCTTGAGGCCGGCCAGGTGGGTTCAGTGTCTACACTAGCAGCTTCTTTGGGTTCCTGGATCATAGCTTCAAAAGATCTGTAGACTTCACTGGGCGGTGTTTCTCTGGGATGTGCCAACCAGCCATTCTCCATCCCTTCAGAATGAACGCCCCCTGTAGTCAAAATCATGAAAGACTGCACTTCCTCCCTTTGTGGCTATAACTTGGAGCCCATCTCCAAGAGGCTTCTGAGTTATTCAGCTCAGACTCGGTCCCGTTGTAAAATCTGGCAGGGAGAGAAACTTTTCTCCTCCCCATTTCTAATGTGGTCCAAAATACAAGAAACAGAGATCGGTGTGATTTGAAATATCAGATTGCTCCTAGTGACCAAAGGACAGATGGCTATAGTGTCCCTATAAACAAATGTGTGATGACTGTAGTGATCAACAAATTACTATACTCTCTAGATTTGGGCAGATAATAGCTGTGAAACTGAGATTGTTTACTGTGGCAAATGTGTGTGTTAGTCATACCTTCAAAAGCCTTCAGGGGAACTCTATGTTCCCTGAATTCTTATCAATCAGAAGTGAATTTATCTCTAAAACTTCCTTGTAAAATGGACAAGTGGACTCTGTGTTGGGAAGAATGTGGTACAGTTCCTCAAGTTAATATAAAATGGACAGACAACCCCAAAGAAAACAAGAAAAAAAAAGAAAGAAAATGGAAAACCCCAGCTAACTCCACATTCTAATTTCTTGGTTTCATAATACATAGATAATAAAGCACAACAGTATTGTTACAAAGAACTCCAGTATATAATGTGCTATTGAATTCTGAATGTCAGGCATGTTCCATGTCGATATTACCAACATCGTGGTTGGATCACTTCATATGTAAAGAGCTGAACTATAGACTTCATAAGTTACCTATTGGCTTTAAGTGTAACTAAAGATTTTGGCTTTAGAGTTTTAAAGTGCAGTTCTGGGCATAAGAAAGCACTGCCTTCAGTGCTTCAAGAACTCTGTTCTTATCAGTTTATTGAGCCACTCCCTAGGAGTAAATTAGGATCCAAGGACTGCATTTTGACCATTTGAGTATCAGTTGTGTATTTTACTGTACCAAGGGAGTAGACACAAGCACAGACAGGGTACTTGGTGTGCAACAGATGCTCCATAGAAACTTGTTTAGCTGAATTGGAACTTAACATTCTCTAGATACAATTTTTTTTTAACTTTTTTTTTTTTAATTACAGAAAACTTCAAACACACACTAAAATAGAATAGTGTATTGAACCCTAATGGACCCTTAACTCTACACTAATAATTATCAACTCTTGGTTTAATTCACTTCCTATTTCCCTCACTAGATTATTTTGCTGTAAATCTGAGATATTTTATCATTTCATCTGAATTCCATATGTCTTTTATATACTTTTTTTCATTGAGGTATAATCAACATATAACAGTATATTAGTTTCAGGTTTACCATAATGATTCAATATTTGTATATATTACAGTGATCACCACAATAAGTCTAGTTAACATCCATCATCATACATAGTTACAACATTTCTTTTCTTGTGATGAGAGCTTTTAAGATTTGCTCTCTTAACAACTTTTAAAATATGCGATACAGTATTATTAACCATGCTGTATATTACATTCCCATGACTTATGGATTCCATGACTGGACGTTTGTACCAGGATGTGTGTTTTTTGTTTTTTTTAAATAAATTTATTTATTTATTTTTGGCTGCATTGTGTCTTCGTTCCTGCGCATGGACTTTCTCTAGTTGTGTTGAGCAGGGGCTACTCTTCGTTGTGGTGCGCAGGCTTCTCATTGCGGTGGCTTCTCTTGTTGCGGAGCACGGGCTCTAGGCACGTGGGCTTCAGTAGTTGTGGCGCGTGGGCTCAGTAGTTGTGGCTCGCAGGCTCTAGAGCGCAGGCTCAGTAGTTGTGGTGCACGGGCTTAGTTGCTCCACGTCATGTGAGATCCTTCCGGACCAGGGCTCGAACCCGTGTCCCCTGCATTGGCAGGTGGATTCTTAACCACTGCGCCACCAGGGAAGTCCAGGGTGTGTTTTTTAAACACAATTGTACCTTTATCATTTCTAAAACATTAACATTAATACCTTACTGTCATCAATATAAGGTCAGTGTTCAGGTTTCCCTGATTTTCTTTTTCAGTGTTTGTTAGAATCAGGATCCAGATAATTTTATGTAATTGTAATTATTTCATTTGTCTCTTACATTTCTTTTTCTTGCTTTTTAAAATCGAAAACCATATTTTATTGAGATATATTGTAGCTTATATACAATAAAATGCCCAGAACCTAAGTGCACAGTTGGATGAGTTTTAACAATTTTGTGTACTTGTGTGACAACCACCCAACTCAAGATATACAATATTTCTGTCATCAAATCCCAGAAAAATTGTTTTGATTCTTTCTAACGAATCCCCCCTTCCATTCCAAGCAGCCATTTCTTATCACCATAAATTAGTTTTTCCTGTTCTTAGATTTTATATAGTGCCTTTTTGCATCTGGTTTCTTTTGCTCAACAAAATGTTTTTGTGGCATTCATTCATGTTGTTACATGTATCAGTAGTTCATTCCTTTTTATTGCTAGTATTTTATCACATACATCTACGAAAATCTGTTTATCCATTCTGTTGTTGATGGATGTTGGGTTGTTTCCAGTTTTAGGCTATTTTGAATTAAGACTGCTAAGCGCATTCTTGTACAGGTTTTGTTTTGTGTTGCTTTGCTTTTTGACACACGTTTTCATTTTTAGTGGATGAATACCTGGAAGCAATATACAGTTAAATACACACTATTCTGACCCAGCACAGGGTAGGTGCATGTAAAAAATTTAAGAGAAACTGCCAAATAGCTTTTCTAAGTGGTTATATCATTTTGCACGCCCACACCACAATGTGTGAGAGTTCCAGTTATTCTCTGTCCTTGCCAGATTTTGTATTTGTCTTTTCGATTGTAGCCATTCTAGTTGTATGATCTATTATCTTATTGTGGTTTGAATTTGTATTTTTCTGACGACTGTTGATGTTGAGTTTACTGGCTCGTAGAATAATAAAATGAATACAAAACAGACAAATAACCTAGCAAAAGGTGGGCAAAAGACTTGACCCGTCACTTTCCAAAAGCAAATATTCTACCAATCCATTACATAGCCTATTTATCCGTTTACCCAGGCCTTTTAAAATTTCTCTCAGTGATGTCTCTTAGTTTTTGATATTGAAGTCTTGTACATGTTTCTTAGATTTATTTCTAGATAATTGCTGTTTTTTATGCTACTGCAAATGGTATTGTTTTATAATATCATTTTCTAATTATTCATTTGCAAGTATGGAAAAATACAATTGCCTTCTATATGTTGATCTTCTATCCTGAGAACCTGCTAAACATATTCACTAATTCAAGTAGGCTTTTGGCATATCCCTTGTGATTTTCATGTTGTTTATGAATAGAGACAGTTTTACTACATCTTTTCCTGTCTGCATGCCTCTTATTTCTCTTCTTTGTCTTAATGCACTGTTAATGTCGAAAATTATATTGATTTTCAAATGTTAAACCAATTTTCATCCTTGGGATAAACCTCACTTGGTCATAATGTATTAACCTTTTTATATATTGCTGGATTTGATTTGCCAATATTTTGTTAAGGATTTTTACAGGTTATGAGGAATATTGGCCTGAAATTTACTTTTCCTTTAATGTCTTTGTCAGGATTTTGGTATCAATTATACTGGCTTTATATGATTTGGGAAGTGTTCCCTCCTCTATTTTCTGAAAGAGTTTGTATAAAACTGTGTATTTCTTTCTTAAATGCTTGAAAGAATTCACAGTGTGGGCATCTGGGCCTGATATTTGTTTGTTTTTGTAGAAAGGTTTTGGTATATGGATTCAGTTTCTTTAATAAATATAGAGTTATTCATATTTTCTTGTTCTTATTGAGTCATTTTGGTGAACTGTATTTCTTGTGAACTAGATCTAGAAGCTTTCTCAGGCTTCATTTCAACTTTTTGGAGAGACTAGTCCATATGCAGTTTTCAACTCTTTTGAGTTAATACCAAAGAACGCAACTGCGGGATTACATGATAAGAATATGTTTAGTTTCGTAAGAAACCACCAAACTATCTTCCAAAATGGCTGTTACCATTTTGCATTCTTATCAGCAATGTATGAAAGAGTTATGTTGCTCCACATCCTTGCCAGTATGTGATGTTGTCAGTGTTCCACATTTTGGCCATTCTAATAAGTTTCTTGTTTTCATTTGCATTTCCCTGATGACATATGATGTGGAGCATCTTTTCATATGCTTATTTGCCATGTATATATCTTCTTCTGTGAGGTGTCTATTAAGGTCTTTGGTACATTTTAAAATCAGGCTTTTTTTTTTACTGTTGAGTTTTAAGAGTTTTTGTATAATTTGGAGAACAGTCCTTTATCAGATGTGTCTTTTGCAAAATATGCTTTCAGTCTGTGGCTTATCTTCTAATTCATCTGATATTATCTTTCACAGAGCATATGTTTTTTAATTTTAATGAAGTCCAGCTTATCAATGATTTCTTTCATAGATTATGTCTTTGATGTTGTATCTAAAAAGGCAACATCACATATAGGTCTATGAGCCATCTTGATTTAATTTTGGTGAAGGGTGTAAGGTCTGTGTCTAGATTCATTTTTTTTGCATGTGGATGTCCTATTGTTCCAGCACCGTTTGTTGAAGAAACTGTCTTTGCCCCATTGAATTGACTTTACTCTTTGGCCAAAGAGTAGTCTTGACTTTATTCTTTGCATCTATCAGTTGACTTTAATTATGGGGGTCTATTTCTGGGCTCTCTGTACGTTTTCATTGATCTATTTGTCTATTTTTTCACCAATATCACACTCCCTTGATTATTCTAGTTTCATATTAAGTCTTTTCTACTTTTTAGTTTTATTTTTTTACTTTTGCCTGCATCGGGTCTTCGTTGCTGCGTGCGGGCTTTCTCTGGTTGCAGCGAGCAGTGGCTCTTCTTCATTGTGGTGCACGGGCTTCTCATTGTGGTGGCTTCTCTTGTTGTGGAGCACGGGCTCTAGGCGCACGGGCTTCAGTAGTTGTGGCATATGGGCTTAGTTGCTCTGCAGCACGTGGGCTCTTCCCGGACTAGGGATTGAACCTGTGTCCCCTGCATTGGCAGGCGGATTCTTAACCACTGCACCACCAGGGAAGTCCTCGTATTAAGTCTTGAAGTCAGGTACAGTCAGTTCTCTCCAGCTTTGTTCTTCTCCTTCAGTATTGTGCTGGCGATTCAGAGTCTGTTGCCTCTCTCCATATAAACTTTCGAATCAGTTTTTCAATTCTCCACAGTTTGTCATTATCCACAAAATAACTTTCTGGGATTTCCATTGGGATTGCACTGAATCTGTAGATTAAATTGGGAAGAACTGACATCTTGACAGTATTGAGTTGTCCTATTCATAAACATGGAATATCTCTCCACTTATTCAGTTCTTTCATTTCATTCATCAGAGTTTTGTAGTTTTCCTCATATACATCTTGTATATATTATATTTTGTTAGATTTATAGCTAAGTATTTCATTTTGGGGGGTGCTAATGTAAATGGAAATGTGCTTTAAATTTCAAATTCCACCTGTTTTTTGTTGGTATATAGGAAGGTGATTGACTTTTGTGTATTAACCTGTATCCTGCAAACTTACTATAATCATTTATTAGACCTGGGAGATTTTTTGCCAATTATTTCAGATTTTCTACAAAGATCATCATGTCATTTGTGAACAAAGAGAGTTTTATGTCTTCCTTCCTTCTTTTGTACCTGATCTTAGTGGGAAATCTTCGAGTGGCTCACCATTAAGTATAATGTCAGCTGTAAGTTTTTTGTAGATAATCTTTATCAGACTGAGAATGTTCCCCTCTATTTCTAGTTTATTGAGAGATTTTATCATGAATGCCTGTTGGATTTTGTCAAATGCTTTTTCTGCATCTATTAATTTGATAATATGATTTTTCTTCTTCAGTCTGTTGATGTGGTGGATTCCATTAATTGATTTTCAAATGTTGAGCCAGCCTTGCATATGGTGTTTAATTCTTTTTATGCGCTTAAAATTTGATTTGCTAATATTTTGTTGAGGATTCTTGCATCTGTATTCATGAGAGATATTGGTCTGTAGTTTTCTTTTCTTGTAATTCTTTGTCTGGTTGGTATTAGGGTGTTGCTGGCCTCATAGAATGAGTTATAAAGTATTCCCCCTGCTTCTGTCCTCTGAAAAAGATTGGTATAATTCCATCCTTAAATATTCAGTAGAATTCATCACCCTCTGGGCCTGGGGCTTTCTGTTTTGGAAGGTTATTAATTATTGATTCAATTTTTAAAGTAAATATAGGTCTATTCAGATCATCTGTTTTTTTCCTGTGTGAGTTTTGGCAGGTTGTGTCTTTCAAGATATTGGGTCATTTCATCTGGATTTTCAAATCTGTGGGCATAGAGTTGTTATCCTTTCATTAAAAAAATATAATATGCCCCTTTACTTCTTAAATAAATGGTAACAAATTATATAGACTTTTCTCTATCTTGACCCCATTTTAACATGCACAACTTGCCTTTCATGGACTGGTAGAATAATGTGTTTATTTGAACCGTGACAACAAATATCCTATGACCCCATTCAGTCTGGGTAACTACCTCCCAATATCAAGCGGTGTCTTAGCTTAATTACAATATAAATGCTTTTTCATGTATTTTGATTTAGCCAGTGTTGGATACTGTATGGTGCCTGAGGGTAGAAGCCAGGTGTATTTAACTCATCAAATAAAGTTTTAAACTCCATTTGTCTTGGTACATTTTTTGATATTTGGACCTAGTTTATGGCAAGTGGGTGTAGAGGTAGGTGCCCAATAAATGGCATAGCTTCCCCCTGATGATTTTTTGAGAAGTGCTTATATATGTTTCATAGTTACACGTGCATTTTCTTTTCTTCTGCAGTCACAGGATTCAATCTGTGGGGTGCTGTAGTGGCTACTGGTGTGGTCTGCACATTCTACTGCACTATGGTATGTCAAGAACATTATTTCTCCTTTCAGTCTACACACTTGCTTTGCAAATTTGAAAATTTCAATCGGTGCATGCTGCAATCTGGGTTCTTCATACCTGCCTCCCACAGTATAACTTTTTTTGTAAGGAATATTCTTCAGTCCAGGGTAAAATTTGATCCTTTGTAGGACATTGATCATAACTGATATTTTTTTCTTTCATCTGAACCATGCCGTGGTCCCCAACCTCATCTCCTAATTCACTCTCACTGTTGCTGTGTTACTATAGCTGTGCTCATAATATTCCTCAGCTTAGAAACCTGAGATAACTTCCCATTGTCTTTAGGCAGGAGCAACAGTCAAAATATGTAAGAACCAGTGTGGCATGGGCACTGATATTATCATGGATGCTGATCCTTAGCAGTGGTGCAAGCCTTATGCAACCCCTGATATTCTAGGTCTTAATCCTTTAGTTGCTCAGTGTTTTGGAAGACAAGGTCCTCAAGGAGGGGCTTGTTCAGGGACTGGAGGGGGACACTTGGAAGTTTGTGGCGGTGGCTAGTACAAAACAATTTTAGTTTTTTCAGCAACTGGTATGTCCTTCTTTGTGCATACTGGTTGAATTTCAGCCCTGCCTATAGGATAAAATCTGTGATATCGCCATTTGCAATTTGACTCTGAATTTTTTTCCCAACAATATTCCCACACCACTCCATGGCACTCCAAAATATATATCTGGCTGCATTCAACATGCCACATATTTTAACCTCTCTAAGCTTTTGCCCAAGCTATTTTCTCTATTGGGAGGACCTTACATCTTGGACTCTGCTTATATTTGAAAGTTTGGTCTAAGTATTACCTTCCTGACTGTCTCCCTGGGGGGAATTCTTGGCCAAGATCCATTTTTCGTTATCTTTCTCCAGCATGGTGTATAAGCATGTAGATGCTTAATAATGTCTGGTAGAAGCATTGATCCTAATGTACTTTCCCCTCAAAGGGTGGTCTTAAAGCGGTTATCTGGACGGATGTTTTTCAAGTTGGGATCATGGTGGCTGGATTTGCATCTTTGATTATACAGGCTGCATTGATTCAAGGTGGAATCGGCACTATTCTAAATGATGCCTATAATGGAGCAAGATTAAACTTCTGGAAGTAAGTTGCTATTTACTTCTTGGTTAATATAACATTCCTTTTGTTTTTTTCTGTTAAAAAAATCTCTTGGCTGAAATAATAAGTTTACATTAGAAAACAAACCAACCGTTAAGGGTGTGGTACAAAAATTTGAAGCTGGGAAGTTAATGCGTAAGGAATTTCCACCAGGTCTTTAAGGGGTTAGTCAGTTGGTAGTTAGCTACATGGAGCTGAGGATGGTGCTTCCTCCTGAGAAGGGATTGATAGCAAAAGAGTATTTTCTTCCAGATATTAAAGTCTGGAATAGGTTGAAAGGTGTGGGTAGGGAAATAAGGTAAGATATACTAGAGAGAGAAGAAAAGGAAACCTCTTAAGAAAACAACACTAAAAGACAGTGATTTCATTTTGACAGTTCTTTGTTTCAAGCAGCCTAGAGAATTTCTCTTTTAAAATTACCCTGATAATGTATAGTATATTATTATTATGCTACATATATATGTGTGTATTATATGTGTATAAATGTTACATAATATACATTATATATTAAATATTATTTCTTGAAAATTGACTAGAAAAGTTACAGCTGATGCCTCAAGTCTCAGTATAGCATAAGGTATAACGTCTTCAACAACTATTTAGTTTTCTTAAAGAAGGCTAATGGAGAAACTAGATATTTCATCACAAATATATCACACAATTTAAAAAAATATTTTAAACACCTTCTCTTTGGGATCAATAGTGTCTTCCTTGTACATCACATTCAACGTGCAGGGGGTGCTCATTTTGACATAGACCAACTTATTTTCTCTTTCAGCAGCCCTGTTCTGAGATAAGCAAGCTGAAATCATTGGCAAAAGGAAAGAAAATCATTTTGCACTTGGTGGCTCTCTTCCAGTTTTCTGAAAATAGGTGCTAATGTATGAGAAGAACGGCAGAAATTGAACAGGGTCAATGTGTTAATTTGCAAGAATGAATTACAGTGAATCAACTTCAGCTGTTCTCAATAGTTTTTTTTTTCTTTTACCGCAAGATTCAGATTCCAAGGAAGAGAGCCTCCAGTTGGCCTAGCGTGGACATGATTCCATCCTGTAGCTAGTGCAGAGCGGAACATTTTGACTGACCACCATTTAGACTATTTAATGGAGAAATGGTAGTTTCCCCAAGGCAAACCTAGGCTGCTGTTACCAGAAGAAGGGGAAATGGATACCAAGAGGCAGAAACAGCCAGTGGCCACTTGGGAGACTTGGATTACTCCCAGATCTCTTCCTAGTCAGCTAGGTTGAGGGGAAAGGGTGTGGAGTCAGTCATTTTTCGGCAAAATAACTGTCACTTTATACAAAGAGTACATACATTGCTGCATTGAAACGATAACTTATACATCAGTAAGAGATTCTAAAAAGTAAAAGATTAGACATTTTTATGACCATTACAAGGTTGCCAACAATTAAGGAATAATGAAAAGCCTTATTGTATATCCCTTGTTATTCAAATATGTTTTGAGAATATGGTGGGCAATAAATCTGCTCTTGTTGAGATAAATGAAGGGAAGGATTTTGTGTTGGTATTTTCTGTATGGTCTATAGCTGACACATGTATTCTGTATTGCCAAAACCACTGAAGTGGTTGTTTTAAATCTTGTCTTACTTCCTTCAAGTAACTCGCTGAACCCTTTGGTTCTTGACTTTTATTAGCTAGTATAGTAGCTACTTTCTCTATGGGAGAAAGGGCCAACACCCTTAAAACTCTTAGACTTTGATATTAAGTGTTAGAGAATGGAATAGAGGCTCTTATCTTCCCATAAGCATGCTGGCAAATGCATAAATATGTAGCACTTTACTCAACTGATCTCAAATATAAGCTTTGAAGTGGCATTGCAGAATTTCATAATTTTCAGAAAGTTTCCATTGAAACTAATTCTGCAGAAAATTTTCAAGCTTATATTGTATATGAGAGATGAACAGACTCACTCCTTCCAAGGTGATACGTTAAGAAGGATTAAAAGATGTATTGAATGTAGAAGTTGAGCTTTCTTTGTAGCAATGTTTTGTAAATGTCATAATGACTTTGAACTATGAGTACTTAGTTTGTGCACAGAGCATTTTTTTTTTTTTTTTTTTTTTTTTTTTTAAGCCACAGATTCTAAATGCTTACTTTGAACGCGGAGCACAGGCTCCGGACGCGCAGGCCCAGCGGCCATGGCCCACGGGCCCAGCCGCTCCGCGGCACGTGGGATCCTCCCGGACCGGGGCACGAACCCGCATCCGCTGCATCGGCAGGCGGACCCTCAACCACTGCGCCACCGGGGAAGCCCCTGCACAGAGCATTTTAAGGACAGATTATAATGACATGAAAACCATTAAACTGCATTAATTGAATTCTTAAGCTTGAATATAAAGTAAAACTATGACTATACATGTGCTAGGAGAGGAATTACACACACAAAATATGTCAGTATTGTGTTCATTTCAGTACCATTTCTATTGCTGCAGTGTACCTAGGAATCTTTCTCTCTTTTTTCAGCTTCATGCTCCTCTCTGATTACAGCATAGCAGACTTGTTTAAATAATTTCCTATGGCCATGGGAGAACAATTTCTATAAATGCTCAGAATGATTGGAACATTCATTTTTTCCCCCTGTCCCATCCAGAATTTCCAAATCTCTGAAACTATCCATTTTTATTTCACTGAACTTAAGAATATTTCTACCTTTTATATTACTTAATCAGTACATATTTATGTATGTATATTTATAAATATTTACTTATGTTTATGTAGGTATACATTGCTTGCTTCCAAAATTACTCTAGGAAGACTTCTGTAGTGTTTGGCTGGGACTTCAAATTTGTTTTCTGTTTGTTTTCATTTAGTTTTAATCCTAACCCTTTGCAAAGACACACATTCTGGACGATTGTTATAGGAGGGACCTTCACATGGACCAGCGTCTATGGAGTCAACCAATCCCAAGTACAGAGATATATTTCCTGTAAAAACAGATTCCAGGCAAAAATGTAAGACAAACTATGGTATATGAATCATCAATAACTATCAGTTGTCTTTATGGAAACTCTTTCAAAAGTCAAGCTTTGGCACAGGGAAACCGGCTCGGTTCTTTGTGGCTGTCTGGAGGGGTGGGATAGGGAGGGTGGGAGGGAGGGAGACAAAGAGGGAAGAGATATGGGAACATATATATATGTATAACTGACTCACTCTGTTATAAAGCAGAAACTAACACACCATTGTAAAGCAATTATACCCCAATAAAGATGTTAAAAAAAAAAAAAAAAAAAAAAAAAGTCAAGCTTTGCTCAAGTTTAAGTCTTTTGTGTCATGAAATTCTAAGAGATAAATGATATACTACAAAAGGATCACATAGAACAAAGTGGCCTTGTATGTTTTAAATCAGATATTTAAAAATATTTATATCAATTATTAAGTAAAACAAATCTTATCAAATAAACAGGCATTTACTGTGCATCTGTTTGTATGAGGAACTGTAGAGAATAGAAAATGATAAATATATGGCTCTTGTCATGAAGGAACTTAGCATCAAATTAGGAAAATACATGCAAGTATGTGAAAAGTAAACTAACACTAGAGGTATAACAGTTCTGTGAAACAGTATAACAATATAGAGGAAATGTTCTAGAGCGTTATATTGCCAGATGTGCTGGTGCATTTTATTTTCAGACACAGTCGTGGGTTTATAACCTTGTTCTAATACTTGCTACTTGAGTGATTTGGCGTGAGTCACTTAGACTCTCCGAGCTTCAGTTTCTAAACTTGTAAAATGAGCATAAGATATCACACATCTCGTGGAGGTATTATAAAATACTGTGTTTGGCACGCATGTGGTAGGGATCCAGTAAATGTGAATTCCTTTTTCCACCTCAAATCGTGGGATGTGAAGGCAGGGGATAAGTGAGAGATTCCTGTCAAACAGGCAGGTCCTGAAGAATGACCATATGTGGGCAGGTGAAGAGTGTGGGAGAGCATTCTGAGTAGGCAGAGTGATTTGGGCAAAGCACAGAGGTGGGAAGGACAGCATGGTCAGGGGACTCTCCAGCCCATCTTGACCTCAGCGAAGAGTATGAACAGTGGCTGGTTCTTTGTCAGGAGGCCTCAGATAAGCTTGGTGACTAGCGCTCTTCATGCTGATGCATTTAGGGGCTATAAAACTCTTAAGTAGCTTGATTAAGAGTAATAAGGGGGTTGGAGTAGGAGGAGTGGCAGTTCTCTTGCTATTCAAAGGGGAATGTGAGAAATATACGAGGTCACATGTCAATATATGCGAGTAAATTGGTTTAGACATTATCTGTCTTTGGTAAATTCCACAATGAAAAATCTATATGAATATGAGTATAATAACTGGATATGGAATCCCCCAAAAGTGAGCTTAGGAGTTCTGCTACTTTAAGACACTGTAAAGGAGTATAATTTATATATCCATTAATCCATCTACATTAGCACTGGTGCCTCTCCCAAAGTAATTGTGTACATGCTGTTCTTTGGGAACACGTTTCTTTGAGAACATGGAGCTCAAAAAGCCAATTTTATAACTGAAAGAACAGCATTTGAGCTTAATTAGTAAGAAACAATTTCCTTCAGAATAGTCCAATGTGTCTCTTTAACAAGAGCTCAGGGGGACCATTTCCTCCCACTTTTTAACGTTGGCTCCATGGGAAGAATGAGTCCCAGCCAAAAAGTCAAGACCTACTGACATTGATTGACTGGGTACAATATCAGATCTACATGAATGGCATTAAAGCAAAATAAAGCAATATAATAAAGTGTTAACTCATATATAAGTGAGGTGTGGCGACTGAGAAAGTGTCTGGGTATATTTTCTGATGATTTGGAGATGAGATATAGTTATAGTACTTTTAGACAATAACAAAACATGTGGTGAGTGTAGTCAGTCAAGGAAAAAGGCTAGCAATCTGTTGTGGGACCTGCTGCAAGGTAGCTTCTCCCGGAAGCAGACTCTGAGATGGAGGTTAGCATATGCCAGAGCCTACTAGGGCATCACCACTGGAACAGAGAAGGAAGGGAAGGAAGAAGCATTGGCCAGAGGGAGAAGCTGGGCTGTAATGCAGAGTCTCAACAGAGGCCTCAAGGGGAGCCCCAGGGCTGGGATGACCCTTCAGACTGTCCCAAGTTGGCCTGAGGGGACTTAGCTTTTAAACCTCTGAATCCAGTTGTCATTTTACGCAGGCTTCTCTGGGGAAGGAGGTATGAGTTGGTGGGTGTGGGGAGACCTCTCTTCAGCCTAGGGCAACTTATCAGCGTCCACTACAGCACCCCCGGGGGGAAAATGTAGCCACCCTAGTGGGAGAAATATTTACTATCAACTGATTATTAAGACATAGCATTCAATGATATTAACACTAATGATATCAATAACTACCATTTAGCAAGTGTTTATTACATGCCGTTGTACTATATGATATATACTATTTTATTTAGTTTCACATATAACTCGGTGAGGTAGGCATTGTTATTTCTAGCTGTAAATGAAGCAACTGAGGATCAGAGGGGTTAAATTACTTGCCCAAGGTCACATATGGTAGGGAGAGCTAAGATTTATGCTCAGGACTGACTCCAGTGCTATTATGTAAACCTTTGCACTCTACTGGAGCACACACCATTTATTAAAATGCTGAACATCGTTTTGGAAGATACCTGTCCAAGGAATACAGGTTTGCCTTTCCTGTGTTTCATGGATGGCATCACAAACCACATTTAAACAAGCCTGACGAGTTGCTATGTAAAGGCTAACAGTGTTTAGCAGTTTATAACTGCATCACTTTTGAAGGTAAAATGAGTGATAGTCACTGCCCTGTTGACTATTAAAATCTCTATTTCGTGACAAGACGTCCTGAAGGACTATAACTAGACACCACTATAAAGCTAATAATGCCCATGGAACTCTGACCAGGAGGATACGTTCATTCAATGGCAAAATCCCATCTATTCCAAGTATTTCCAAATACAGTGATGATTGACATCATAAACAGAAGGTTAGGCCAGAATAAAATCCGTAGCATTTTCGAGAACCAAAAGAGAATGCACATCTATTGAATATAATCATGGAAGTCTCTTCTATTTATGTAACAATTTTCCTCATCTTTGAGATGGAAACTAAAATTGTCATTTGCTGGTTTGTTTTCACTTCTTTAGGTCTCTCTACATCAATCTTTTGGCACTCTGGTTGATCCTGGCCTGCACAGTGCTATGTGGGCTCGCCCTGTATTCCAGATACCGTGACTGTGATCCTTGGACAGCCAAGAAAGTGTCTGCACCAGACCAGGTCCAGTACCATGTCTTTCTTACACATGCAAGAATGACATTCAGAAAGCTTATTAGCTGGGAGGAAAGAATGTTCATGTTCTTGTAAAGTAAGAGCAAATAGGCACAATATAATCATCTTTAGTTTCTATAAAGCATTTGGAAAAAATGTATTTTAGCAGCTACAGCAAAAATGAAGAATGCTACATCCAATAAAAATATTGAAATACCTGGCAAAGTTTCAGGGTAGGTGTTAAATAGAAATAGCTCAAGGCTGGGAGTAGAAATATAAACACAGTTTTAAAAAAGCCCCAAACTATATACAAACTGTGGTACCGTGGAACATTTTATGGGTTTAGATTGTTCACTGATAAGCAGTTTACCTTCCAGTTGTTTTTTTTTTCTTTAATTTATTTGGCTGCGCCAGGTTTTAGTTGCGGCACACGGGATCTTCGTTGCCATGTGCGGGATCTTTTTTAGTTGCAGCATGCGGGATCCAGTTCCCTGATCAGGGATCAAACCAGTGCCCTCTGCATTGGGACCACTGAGTCTTAACCACTGGACCACCAGGGAAGTCCCACCTTCCAGTTTTTAAGTGATATGGAAATGGATCTAAAAGTGAACATTTATTGAGCACCAGCTATGTGATGAGGTTCTGTGCCAAGAGCTTTGCATGCTTTATTTCTTTCAATTCTTACAACCCTATAATTCTAATTTTATAGACAAGGAAATGAATCTCAGAGAGGTTATATAATTTGCCCAAGGTCACATAGTTAATGAATAAGAATAACTGCAAGCACTCATCAAATACCATGGGCCAGGCACGATTATAAGTGCTTTATATAAATTTTAACTTTTAAATCTCACAGAAACAGTGCCGTGATGATCTTCCTTTCAAAAATAAGGAAACTGAGGCACAGAGAGCTTAAATAACCAGCTGGTAAACCTGGAGCCAGGATTCAAACCCAGGCAGGCTGCCGCCAGTGTCCTAACTTTGAACCTCTATGCCATAGACCATCTTTCAGAAAGTGTAGCTAGAATCCAAACCCAGGACTGCCAGAGTCGATTGTAAATCAGGTGCCCAGGGGACCTATTAGAATGATGACAGGTTGAACTTTATGTTGGTGTAAATGCATAACATACTCCCAGAAAAATACAACTTTGTGGGGTTAGGAAATGAGAGCATCCTTGATCTGTGTATTTCAACCCTATCTTAATCTTTGCCCTCCTCTTGATAAACGGATCTTTCTGTTTCTTCAGAGAATCCAAGAATCATATTTACTCTGAAGATGGAGGCACTATTCCATTATATTTTCTTTAGTCAATAATATTTTGTGATTTTTGTCAATCGTTATTATCTGTGAAGACCATAGGGACTAAATTTTTTTTCTAATATGCCTTCCCCTTCCCCTGGGCCAAAAAAATCCAAAATAAAACCCAAAAAACAACAAAAAAAATTTTTTTAAACCTACAACTTCCTAACCTTGAGACCACTTGTCATAGATTGTACACAGGGGGTGTCTTGCATGCATGCATTTATCATTCAGAGAGCATGTGATAAATTTTTGAAAAAGAAAGAGATTTTCTCTGAATTATTCCGCTAGTGTATTGATTATTAACCAGTTAAGTCAATTGACATTTTCCTGGGATTACAATGGAAGTAAGGCAGTCAGTAGAAAATCAGGTCAAAAGCTTAACCCAAGAGAGCAAAGATATGTTTCTGCTACACTCTGCTGTAGCTCACCCTGAGGAAGCCAGATTAATGCCTAGTTACAGTTTTACTATTTTTCTGTCAATCTTACCTGGTGGATTCTACCTATACCTGAGGGGTCATTCAGAATCTAAAATATAAGGCCGAAGATTTTTGAGAAAGTTGACGATAGGATAGAGGATTTTCGATCTCGTTTTAATACTAACGATGGAAGCTTAACTTTGGCTTATGTATAGAATACTTCTTGAAGTTAAACTTGTAAGATGTCTTGGAAAAATGGGTGTTGAACTCATATAGAGAGAAGTGTTATTCTCTTTTTCTGAGAATAAAGAATTAATAAGCTTTAGTTGTTAAATGAGATCAAAGAGGCTGATGAGAATGGGCATAGCATCCACTGTGTACTATTGGGAGAAGGAATCAATGATGTTTCAATGAAATGAGAGGGCATTTTTCCAGGAAATTATCCTCTTAGGACTCTTTTGATTGAAAAACCAGTTTTGCCGAAAGACTGCCACGTAACACAATGCTGAAGGCATACACCTTCCCGTCCTTATTTAATATTTATTTTTTAAAAGGTAATTTATCAAAAAGCAAGTATTAGGAGGGTTTTTTTTTTTAAAGAAGCAAGTTGAGGAATTTTGTGAGGTTACTCTCCACTCATCACTATGTCTCATACAACAGTTGACCCTTGAAAAACATGGGGGTTAGGGGTAGCGACCGTCTGCACAGCAGAAACCTACGTATAATGTTTGACTCCCCTAAAACTTAACTACTAATAGCCTACTGTTGACCAGAAGCCTTACCGATAACATAAACAGTTGATTAACACATATTTTGTATGTTATATGGATTATATATGGTATTCTTAGAATAAAGTAAGCCAGAGAAAAGAAAGTGTTATTAAGAAAATTGTGAAGACAAGAAGATACGTTTACAGTACTGTACTGATTGATACCATAAGTTTACCTTGTCTGTTTACAAGATGAATTGTCTGTCAGTACCTACATCAATGGTGTCTTATGTGATACAAAACACTGCAGATGTTATACTTATTACTAACACAGGATGTCAAAAATGAAAGATAATGTGCAAAAGAAATTCATATTCATTTACAGGTATAACAAGTCATGCATTGATAAAGAAGCAGCAGTACGATTGCTTTATTACAGACTAGTGTAATCGATACGATTGCTTTGTGGTAGCCTCGCCTATATGGTAATAAATGAATCATTATAAAGTTTGGATGGCATGCAGTATTACAGTCATATTGATAATACAGCATTGGAAAGATTGTTTGTTTGTTTTTTTAAATCACCTGTGATCATCGGTTGATGCACAGTTTCTCCAATTATGAGAGAGGCATACTGTGTAGTGTAATATAATTATATAAATATAATTCTTTGAAAGCAAAGTTATAAAACAGTAAAAAAAAAACCCTAACGTTATTTTTATATTAAATGTCACTCACCTCATGCCTATGTAAGGGTAGGCTATCCTTGCATACATACGATGTAATACAAATCTTGCATACGATGTTCTACACGTACATTTTTCTGTATTTATTGAAAAAAAAAATCAACATTTACATGGACCCACACAGTTCAAACTTGTGTTGTTCAAGGGTCAACTGTATATGCAGCTATAATCACATTTTCAATCCTGAACAGTGATTGAAGTTCACAAATATAATCTTGAGTCATCAAGTAAAGTTAAATTAAGTGAATTCTTCTTACTTAAGCACAGAGATATGTAAAATATTTCCTTTAAATTGATTTATTATTCCAAAGAATGAGAACAGCTACCTATTACTGAGCCTATTCTGTGTACTATACTAAGAACTTACACAGATTATCTAATTTAACTTTTATAGCAGCTCTGTGAGGTTAGGATTATTATTTCTATTTTACAGATGGGGAAACTGAGGCTCAGAGAAATTAAATAACAAAAGCCACATCTGTCTGAATCCAGAGACTGTACCCTTAACTACTGTGCTATTCTTTTCTTTAAGTGTTAGCAGGTAGAGTTTAATTTTATACATTTGGACATTTCAGTTATGTGGAATAGCTTCCTTCAGTTCTTGGAGAACACAAGATAAATGAGGTATTCATTAATTTCATTTCATAGCAAATAGTACTCAAGAGTAAATTTTGGAATTTTTCAGCTCATGCCTTATTTGGCACTGGACATTCTGCAAGATTATCCGGGACTTCCTGGACTTTTTGTGGCCTGTGCTTACAGTGGAACATTAAGGTATGAACTATGACTCTAATAATATAAGATTTCCCTTTTGGGATCTTTCTTTTGTTATTGGATATTTGGGGGTGATAAAGCTGAATTCTGGACATGAGCACAGATGGCCCTCATATAGATAATGTACTCCATGTCTTCTCTCTGTTGGTCCAACTCTTCTCTCTAGGGGCTGGATATTGTCATCAGTCTCTTTTGTTTTTTTAATTAATTAATTCATCAGTTAACTTTTGGCTGTGTTGGGTCTTCATTGCGGTGCGTGGCCTATAGGCCCTCGGGCCTAAATCAACAATAAAAAAAATAAAAAAAATTTTTTTTAAGTAATGTAGTAGAAATCTGGTTATATTTCAGAAGTGACAATATGTTTTCCCTTTTCTTTTACCTTGTTAAAGTATTATTAAAGTTTAAACATTATTAATCAAAATTGTGATTTTCCCTTACAGCACAGTGTCCTCCAGTATTAATGCCTTAGCAGCAGTAACTCTGGAAGACCTAGTAAAACCTCGCTTCCAATCTCTCTCAGAAAGGTCTCTGTCTTGGGTTTCCCAAGGAATGAGTAAGTTTTTGTTTCACAATTCCATTTTAGCTCTGGGAGATGAATTTTAGAAATATCAGAAATTCTTTTCCATGGAAAATATAGAGTAAGTGAGTGTGAGTGTATAAACACTCACATGCATGTGACTTAATGCAGTCATGGCCATATTTGCAATCAAGATTTGAGACATACTTCAAACAATTGTCAGGCCACCACAAAAAACAATTGCCAGGGGTGCCATTTGGCTAGCCTTCTTTCCTACCTTCTTTCTGTCCCAAATCTATGTTAAAATTCTTAGCCATAGTTAAAAATTTAACCCTTTACCATCTAAAACTTAGACCCCAGTTTTCAGAAATATTCTTAGTTTGGAACCAAGAGCCATGCTTTTTCTGTATTACCTAAGAGGGCACTGCCAGTTTAAGATATAATCTGTGGGTATGGATTGAAGATACAGGAACAGAGCATTATGATTTTTTACTGGTCTTGATTGTCTGTTCTCTCTGCACATGTAGACTGTCCAGAAGATAATCAATAAAATTGTCCAAGGTATGCTTAAGTCCTTCATTTAATATGAATGCTTAAATTCATAGATTATAGGACCTTATTAGGGGTTAAGTATCATATTGAATGGAAAGGTCTTTAACCTCAGTTCCCAGGTGTCCCAGCTGTAATAGCTGACTCAAAAAAATCTGGCTAGTGTACTTCCTTCTTCATTTTCAAATCTTGGGTATACATGTTTTGGGATGAATGACTAACGAACTTATTATTTTAAAAAAGAATCTTTAACCTCAATAGCACTAATAGACTGTCAAAGACATAGTAAATAATATTCTGTTTTAAACCATAGTTCTATATATGATTGCCATGACTGTAGCCTGGAACAAGTACTTAATTTATATTCTTCAGTGTCCCCTAAATTTAACTAGCATTGCATCATTTTATTATGTACCTGATTTTAATCCTGGAGCGTAATTTCAGAATGATACGATGTTTCCTAAAGGGTATTTAGATGGGTTCATTATGGGTTTGTTGAAGCTGTGTGGTTTAGCAGAACGCATGGAAGCTTTTGAAGCTAGACAGACTCAGTCTTGTTTCACCAGTTAACTAGCTGTTAGCCTTGAGCAAACCCATCTGAGCCTCTGTTTCTTTATATGGAAAATGAGAACAAAAAATATTCACTTTGCAGGTACTATGAGGTTTAGAGATAATCCATGTAAAACAAGAGCCACTAACTGGTACTCAGGAATGATGTTGATGATGATTAATAACAAATCAACTCCACTAGTGTAGATGAGACTTTCCTTCATTTTGAAAGGTTGTATATAGTCATTATCTTGAGGTATATACAGTAAGGACATCATAGAGAAGAACACGGCAAATGACTTGAATGTTTCCGATAACTTTGAGTACAAAAAACCACAATGGTGACCATTCATGAGCTGCCAAATAGAGAAGAATTTAGCTAAATATGTTGGAAATACTGTTTAGAATAGAGTTTGGAGGCATGAAAAATCATTGCAACAAAAGCACTTTGAAAAAATTAATGTAAGTTATTCAGGTGCAAATAAGATTATTTACTCACTACGCTTAACAAAGGTGTGAGTGCTTGTGTTAAGTAAGATAGAAATAACATAAGGAATGCACTAATTTTTTGATGAACACATTTCTCATTCATTTTATTTTTTGTATTTTGAAGTTTATATGTGGGAAATTATATTAACAGATTTCAGGTGATTTTTGCTGAATGGAAGTCTTTAAAAATAAGAATAGGGGGCTTCCCTGGTGGCGCAGTGCTTGAGAGTCCGCCTGCCGATGCAGGAGACGCGGGTTCGTGCCCCGTTTCGGGAAGATCCCACGTGCCGCGGAGCGGCTGGGCCCGTAAGCCATGGCCGCTGAGCCTGCGCGTCCGGAGCCTGTGCTCCGCAAATGGGAGAGGCCACAACAGTGAGAGGCCTGCATAACGCCAGGAAAAAAAAAAAAAAAAAAAAATAAGAATAGGGGGTGGGTTTAATAAAAAAAAATTTTTTTCCCATAGTAATTTTAAAAGCAAAATGTATACTTGGAGAAAATCTGGAAAATACTGAAAGCCAAAAGAGAAAAAAAATCCCGTAAGCTGACCACTGATGGTGGCTTGAGAATTCGTATAAAGTTTCAGGAAAATAGTTTGGTAGAAGGGGGAATATAATACTTGTCCTGAAACTGCCTTTCTTTGCTAGCTTAACAGGAAAGGTTTGTGGATGTTGATGGAGATTATATGAAGGTTAAAGGTCCTAAAACACTCTTTGGTGTGGATTGCTACTTCCCAGGAGAAATGAACACTTAAATTCGGAAGACTTTCTGAAGTTTATTACTCCCTTCCCCCATCATGTTATACAGACCAGAGCTGAAGTGTGTCCTATTTCTGGCAAACTGAAAACAGACACCTGAGCCTTCCTTTTTTTTTTTTTTTTTAATATCTTTATTGGAGTATAATTGCTTTACAACGGTGTGTTGGTTTCTGTTTTAGGACAAAGTAAATCAGCTATACATATACATATATCCCCACATCCCCTCCCTCTTGTGTCTCCCTCCCACCCTCCCTATCCCATCCCTTTAGGTGGTCACAAAGCACGGAGCTGATCTCCCTGTGCTATGCGGCTGCTTCCCACTAGCTACCTATTTTACATTTGATAGTGTATATATGTCCATGCCATTCTTTCACTTTGTCCCAGCTAACCCTTTCCCATCCCCTTGTCCTGAAGTCCGTTCTCTACGTCTGCATCTTTATTCCTATCCTGCCCCTAGGTTCTTCAGAACCTTTTTTTTTTTTTTTTTAGATTCCATATATATGTGTTAGCATATAGTATTTGTTTTTCTCTTTCTGACTTACTTCACTCGGTATGACAGTCTCTAGGTCCATCCACCTCACTACAAATAATTCAATTTTGTTTCTTTTTATGGCTGAGTAATATTCCATTGTATATATGTGCCACATCTTCTTTATCCATTCACCTGTCGATGGACACTTAGGTTGCTTCCATGTCCTGGCTATTGTAAATAGAGCTGCATTGAACATTATGGTACATAAATCTTTTTGAGTTATGGTTTTCTCAGGATATATGCCCAGCAGGGGGATCGCTGGGTCGTATGCTAGTTCTATTTTTAGTTTTTTTTTTTGTGGTATGCGGCCTCTCACTGTTGTGGCCTCTCCCGTTGCGGAGCACAGGCTCCGGACACGCAGGCTCAG